GACGCGGAGAGCAGGGGTTTCCACACAAGGGCGGCTTGCCTGCAAAGCGCCCCAACCCATTCCCTTTCAGCCAAAGCCTATAGCCCCATCAGGAAGACCAGGGAACCCTAGAGCCGGCCAATAACGGAGCAGACGAAGAGAGGACCAATACCAAGCTCCCAGAGAAATCCATCACACAACCGTGGGACACACAGATGCATATGAGCAGGAGAAATTCCACGCAGTCGTGACCACTGAAGGGGAACCATGCAAACTGGAGCTGGACACAGGATCATATTTTACAATAGTATCCTGGCAAACAATCAAGAAGTTGAACCCAGCCGCAAGCAGGAAGTTCCTGAAGCCACCAAATATCCACCTGAATGACTATCAAGGGAACCGGATAGAGGTACTAGGCAGAATGGAGGTCAAACTAACATTCCACGAGTTACAGGGCCAGCTGCCGCTCACGGTCGTTGGCAGCCACTGGCCATCACTGCTGGGAGTAGAATGGTTTAAACCCCTGGGCCTGGACATCACCGGACTGCACAGCGTAACAACCCACGAACTGGACCAGCTGTTGGCAGAGTTCACGGATGTCTTCAACGAGGGCCTAGGTAAATATACGGGGAAACCCATTTAATTTAACCTAGACCCCCATGTAACCCCCATCAGGCTCAAACCCCGTAGGCTACCATTTGCTTTGCGGCCCAAGGTCGAGGAACAATTAGACAAGCTCATTGCCCAGGGAATCCTCGTGCCAACCGACCACGTGGTCTGGGAGACTCCCATAGTCAACCCCATGAAGCCAGATGGGTCCGTCTGCATCTGCGCGGATTACAAGTGTACACTGAACAAGGCCCTCCAGCAGAGTGCGTACCCAGTGCCCGTGGTGCAACATCTGTTGCATTCTCTAGGAAGCGGGAAGATATTTGCCAAGCTGGACCTTGCCCAGGCCTATCAGCAGCTGCCAGTAGACTAAGCCACCACTGAAGCACAAACCACAGTGACTCACAGGGGGGCATTTAAATGTACCAGGTTGCAGTTTGGGGTCAGCGTAGCCCCAGGACTTTTCCAGTGCCTAATGGAGCGGCTACTGCACAGGATCCCAGGGGTGGTGCCATACTTCAATGACGTTTTTATATCAGGGGAGTCAATAGGCCAGTTGATGGAACATTTGCACGAAACCTTGGGGAGGTTCCAGAAAAAAGGACTAAAAGTGAACCCTAAGAAATGCAAAATTGGCGTAAGGTAGGTAGAGTTCCTGGGCTACCTAATAGATGGATCGGGCATCCACCCTACTGACAGCAAGATGAAAGCCATTAAGAATGCCCCCACCCCGAAGAATAAGGCAGAACTGCAAGCCTTCTTGGGACTGTTAAAATTTTACAGCACATTTTCACAACAGAAGGCCATCATTGCTGAACCACTACACAACCTCCTGGGGAAGATGACACTGTGGACCTGGGGATGGAGGGAAGACCAAGCTTTTGCACCAGTGAAAGACCTCCTCTCGTCCCACAGCATCCTGATCCAATATTTATTTATTTATTTATTTATTTATTTTTAAATTTGTATACCGCCCTTCTCCCTGAGGACTCAGGGCGGTGAACAGCCAAGTAAAAACATAAACCACAAACATTAAAATACAATTAAAAAGATATATATATAAATTTGGCCCATGATTAAAAACAATAACAGACAATTAAAAACATTTTAAAAAGTGTTAGGCCAGCCCGGCTTGCTGGAAAAAGAAGGTTTTAAGGGCATGGCGGAAGGCACCGAGGTCTTGGATTCTCCTTATCTCTGGGGGCAGCTGATTCCAGAAGGTAGGTGCCCCCACAGAGAAGGCCCTCCCCCTGGGGGTCACCAGCCTACATTGTTTGGCTGATGGCACCCCAAGGAGGCCCTCTCTGTGGGAGCGCACAGGTCGATGGGAGGCCGTGGGTAGCAGCAGGCAATCTCGAAGATAACTAGGTCCTATGCCACGGAGCGTTTTAAAGGTGATAACCAACCAATATAACCACACATTGCCAGTTTGGATCACCTGTGATGCCTCCCCTTTTTGGAGTTGGGGCCACTGCCTCAGCCACTGCCTATCAGATGGAATGGAAGCACCGACAGCATACTACTCCAAGACCCTGTCATCGGCCGAGCGCAACTACATCCAAATTGATAAGGAGGCCTAGGCCGTGGTGGCAGGGATCAAGCGGTTCAACGAGTATGTATATGGTAGGAATTTCGAGATTGTAACCGACCATAAATCCTTATTAGGGCTCCTTGCCGGTAACCAACAAACCCCGCCATACATGTCCCCGAGGATGACCAGATGGGCCATTTTCCTCACGGCGTACAACAACGAGCTGATCCACCGCCCCGGCAAAGACATCAGCCATGCCAACGCTCTCAGCCGCTGCCCACTGCGAGAATTGGTGGAAGACCCCACACCCACCGCCCAAGTGCTGTTGATCGACATCAACCTGGCCAGCCCAGTGACAGCCAGAGACATTGCTGAACACACCCAAAAAGACAAAACATTAAGAAAGGTTCTAAACTGGGTGTTGAGGGGGTAGCCACAGGAGAACTTGGGGGAGGAGTTCAAGAGTTACCACAGCAAGCAAACCGAACTGTCAACCATTAAGGGCTGTTTGCTGTGGGGAGAAAGGATTGTCATTCCCCAAAAGCTTCGGAGGCGCACCATGGATGCCCTGCACATGGGCCACCCTGGGATCGTGAGGATGAAGTCCATATTTGAGGACTACATGAACTGTCAACCAGTATAGCTCCCTGAATAGTAGTGTCAAGCCAAATGGAGCCCATTTCTACTCAGGTTAGTGCATTCTGGACCAAATTAATTTTCCACTCTTCATGGACAGATAAAATAAGTGTCCAACTATGAAATGACAAAGACAAGAATAAAATCAACAGAGCCTCCAACTCCAGGAATGGCTACAATTAGTGCAAATTATGTAGCTGTGCTAAGATCCTCCTGACCAAATGCCTGCAAGCTGCTTGTAGAAGCAACTAAGTAGACACCCATATTGTGGATCAGCTCTGCACCAGGTATGCACAAAAAATCCATACAGGCCCAAAAGGTGGAATTCTACTGGAATCTTTTGGCTTCTAAAGACAATCTTGCTGGAACTGAGTTTAAGTATGTTTTTCCTGATTCTAACAAATTCCAGACACTGAAATAGAAACTTTACAAGATCTCCTGTTCAGAGTGGAGTGGAGATTCATAATTAGGTATCACCAGCATGTTAATTAAACCCCACAACATAATAGAACACTCCTAGTAGCTTCATATACTGGGGATATTAATCAGGAAATGGGAGAGAACTGAACTATGGGGAGCCCTATAGTGGAATGGTGAAAAAGTCTCCCTCCTCTAACTGAAACCAACGCCTGTAGGTACTATAGGTAGTGAATGGATCCATAAGCTCCTTGGGGCAGACTGAATAGAACCATTCTCCTTGCAAAGGTCAGTGGCACTGATCATCTCCATGGAAACACATGGAAACAAAATATTGATTCATCAGGATGAATCAGGGGTGATGTTAATATGTCTCACCTTCAGATCTTATTAACTCCAAAATCATGATCATAATCATCATCTCTAACACATTCGGTCTGTGATGACTAGGACAAACCTATGTTGACTTGCCTCTGATTCCTTCAACCAAAGAAGGCAGATTGAAGTCCCCAGAACAATAAACCTGAGAAAATCAATACCAATCTGACACTCAGAACCAGCAGTTTGGATGGGGTGCAATTGTGCGTCAGGAGAACAGTACATCAGCTACAGTTCCAGCTTGTCGCTCACAGCCACCCTCAGGAATAAGACCTCACATTCATTTTTATATGGATCAGAGCTTTTGTTAACTGGCTGTAGAAAGTGATCTTAATAGAAAATATGACCTTAATAGAGATTAGTAGGAGCTGTTACCTAAGCAAAAGAGTTAGAAACATTGTTTTTAAAAGTCCAGAACAACAAGATAGGATTTGGAAATGACCCAGGCAGCCACTCTTCTAATTCAATGAACTACAACAGGGAGGAGGAGGTAGGGCACAAACAGACTTGCAAGATTCTTTTACTACAGCCAATAAGTTGTTCCTGTATAATTGGTTTCCTGGTCTGATCTGTTTTGGAGGCTGATACACGCAGAGCCTTCCAAAGGACAATCACTGTCCTTCCTCCTCTACCATAAGAAACTACTGATGGCAACTCCTCAACCCTGGATTGGCACATTATCAAAAGGAGAACTTTCCTCTCTTCAGATCTATCCTCTTACCATTTAATTATGGATAAGGAGAGATGTATTACAGCAGACCTGCCATTGAAAAGCTGCAGCTGGAACCCAAAGTTCCCCAAAGGCAGCCCCAGGTGAAGAAGGAGTCTTGGTGGCGCAGCGGACTAAACTGCTGTTAAAGTAGCACTTAGCTGCCAGCTGCCTGCAATTACTGCGAGTTCAATTCTCACCAGGCTCAAGGTTGACTCAGCCTTCCATCCTTTCGAGGTAGGTAAAATGAGGACCCGATTTGTGGGGGCAATAAGCTGACTTTGTATAAAATAGAACACCGCTCAGGTGGGGCCAAAAAAGCCCTCCTAAGCAGGTATATACAAAAGTATGAAGGCTATTGCTTAATGCATTGTAAGCCACTCTGCGTCTCCAGAGAAGGGCGGCATATAAATTGAACTAATAAATAAATAATAAATAAATGAGACACATGGTTTTTGGTTGAAATACCTGACGGATATGCACCCATTGATTGCCAAGAAGTTTAACAACAAAATTGTGAAACTGAACATGGGTTAACATCTGGCCAAACCTACCTGTTAATGAAAGATCCAACAAAAGAATCAGCACCAGGCAACTTCAAGCCAATCTCCTGTTTACCAACAACATTCAAACTGCTAACTTATGTGATAGCTGATGTAGTTCAGTTTCACTGATTCCTCTATCAACTATACTGAACAAGTCAGGCCATGACTATCAAACATCAAAATCAGGCTATCCTACCTTCTTCACGAGGACTATTTGAGGCTGTATGTCCCGGTGCCTGGAAGCGGTGCGGATCTGGATGGGGAGGAACAGGCTTCGGCTCAACCCTGCCAAGACTGAGTGGCTGTGAATACCAGCATCTTGGTCCGAAGGAGAGGTTCCATCGTTGGCTATAGGGAGTGAAGTCTTACCCCCCTGGTAGACAGGGCACGCAACTTGGGTGTCCTCCTGGATTCGCGGTTGAGTCTAGAAGATCATATAACAACTGTGACCAGGGGGGCATATGCCCAGATTCCTCTGGTGTGCCAATTGCGCCCCTATTTGGACCGAGATGCCCTACGCACAGTTACGCATGCGCTAGTCACCTCCTGTATTGACTACTGTAATGCTCTCTACATGGGGCTGCCCTTGAGGACCACTCAGAGGCTTCAGCTGGTACAGAATGCAACCGCACGGGTTGTGATGGGAGAATCCCGATACTCCCATGTAACACCTCTCCTGCATGGGTTGCATTGGTTGCCGGTTGCCCTCGGGTTGAGATTCAAGGTGCTGGTAATGATCTATAAAGCTCTACATGGATTAGGCCCAGGATACTTTGCGGAGCATCTGCAACCAGCAACAGCTTCTCATCGCCCAGTGCGTTCCCACAGGGAGGGCCTGCTCTGGATACCGTCAACTAGACAATGTTGGCTGGCGGCCCCCAGGGATAGAGCTTTCTCTGTGGGCGTGCCCACCCTTTGGAATCAACTCCCCCTGGGGCTCCGGCTGGCTCCTGACCTCTGCACCTTCCGCTGCGAATTAAAAACATGGCTGTTTGTGGCGCCTAGCCTGGACTGAGGGGGTTTTCAATTATTTTAACAGGTTTTAATATTTGTTTAAGTATGTATTTTATGTTTTTATTGGTTTGTTTTAATTGTTGTGCGCCGCCTTGAGTCCTATGGAGATAGGGCGGCATATAAATTATATTAAATAAATAAATAAATAAAATAAATAAATAAATAAAAACACCATCTGAAATGGAATCACTGTTCAATTCTGTCCATATATACAGCCAAGATATTGCATGCAGTTTGCACTGGATAAATGTGTCACCTTCATCAACAGGAAATAAAATAGTGAAAACTGAAGGAATCAAGATACCCTATGGAAATAACATAAAAGGTTGGATGAAAATGATTACTACGAATATTTCAGCATCCTTCAGGCTGACAACATCAAACACACAAAAGCACGAAGAAAGTTAGAAGTGAATACATCATGGGAATGAAGAAGATCTTAAAGTCAAAAGTCAGTGGCAGAAATAATATCAAGGTGATTAATACCTTGGCAATTCAGGGTAATCCGAAGTCACGAGAATTATTAACTCTCCAAGGATATAAGGTAGACTGGTGGTCTTATTCCCAAGTGCACTCCAGGTATAAAAAAGATTTATATAGTGAAGGAATTTACCATAAAAGACAAGAATTGGATAAAATCTTATTAGGAGGAGGGAAAGGGGTACTATCTAAATGTTATGCATATTTATCGTCTCTGCAGATAGGACAGGATGTAGTGAAGGATTGTATGATAGCGTGGGGGCGAAATTTTGGATATCCCCTTGACTTCCAGCAATGGGAACAGATTTGGTTGAAAAATATGAAATTAACCATGGCCTCCTCATATAAAGAAAACATATATAAAATGGTCTACGGTTGGCATCTCCCCCCTGCGAGACTAGCTAAAATGTTTCCCGGGACATCTCCCTGCTGTTGGAAATGCGGTTACAGTAATGGAACTTACTTTCATCAATGGTGGAACTGCCCGCAGGCGGTTAAATATTGGAAAAAAATACGGCAGTGGATTTTGGAAATTACACAGATCAATTTGGAATTGAGGCTCAAGATTTTCCTGTTGGGGGCAAAACCTTCGAATGTTAAATCAGGTATATGGTTCTTGTTGATTCACATTATTACTGCAGCAAGATTAGCATTTGCACAGGAGTGGAAAAATCAATACTTACCGATGGATTTGAAAATAATATATAAAATTAATGAATGTGTGGAATCAGATAGATTAACTAGATTGATCAATGGTAAAAAAGATTCAGAATTTTATAACAGTTGGAAATTATGGTACGATTGGGTCCAGAAAAGATGGGATAGAATAGATATATGATGGCAAGTATGTATGTATAAAGGAATGACTTTGTATTTATGGACAATGTATTTACATTACACCATGGTGGCAGAATTGTACATTTCATTTGTGTATTGATGCATAGAATATATTAATAATAAAAAAAATACATTGGCAATTCCTGTTGCTAGATATATAGCTGGAATAGTGGACTGGACTCAAACTGAAGTAGAAGCTCTGGATAGGCAGACCAGAGAAATAATGAATCATGCCCTTCATCCATGCAGCAACGTTGACAAACTCTATTTAACAAGAAGCACAGCTGGCTATGGAATGTTGCAAGTATACTAGACGGTTGAAGAAGAAAAAAGAAATTGGAAGAATATCTGAAGGACAGTGAAGAAAATACACTGAAGCTAGTACACCATGAAAGCTTACTGAGTACTGGAGAGACCAAACTGGCCTACAGGAAAGGCCAAGTGAAGAGACATAGCAAGGCAAAGCATTACAGGGCCAGTATACTAACAAACTATCAGGCAAAGCAGATTATAACAAGAATCAGCAATGGATAAGAGCATGAAAATTGAAAAAAAGAGACAGAGGGGCTAATTCTGGCTGCACAAGACAAGCCTTAAACACATATGCACACAAAACCAGAATTGAGAAGAAAGCAACAAACAGCACATGCCATTTCTGCAAAGAAGCTGAAGAAACAATCAACCAACTAGTTAGCTGCTATAAGATGATCTCACAGACAAAATAGTAACAATGGTGTGTTGGAATAAGTTTAAGAAATACCATTTGTGTTCAAGCAAGAACTGGTAGGACTTATAAAATAGACAAAGTAATATAAAATGAAAGAGTTAAAGTGTTTTGGGTCTTTAGAATTCGAACAGACAAGCACCTGCCACATGGCAACCCAGACTTAGCAATTGTTGATAAGAAAGACCAAAAAGTTTGGGTAGTGGATATGGCAGTATTTGGAGACAGAAGAGTAGAGAAACAATTGGAGAAAATTACAAAATACAAAGACCTGCCAATAGAAATAGAACAACTGTGGCAAAAGAAAGCAAAGATACTACCAATAATAGTAGGCATTTTGGATGCAATCCCAAAACATTTGGAGTATTACTTGAACACCATCAGCACTGACAAAATCACCATCAATCAATTGCAAATTGAAACAGCTTACTGTACATCCTGCAACGATTCCTTTATTATCGTTAATCAACAACACCTACCTATCTCAGAGAAAGGACTTAATAGGTTGGAAGGACTTGGGAAAGACTTGATAAATGGATAAAAATGCCAAACCCAGTCTAAACATCTGGCTGACTATGCAATCAACTGTAATATATTAAACTTGTATGCCCTTGATTTCCAATGACCCTGGACAGCTGACAACAATCAAAGAAATTACAATAATATTGACAGAAGGTTAAAGATGGCTAGAATAATAGACTAGCTGGAATGAAGCAAAGGATTTCAGTGTCACTCCCTAAAGGTCTGGTAAAGCCCAAGTAGAGACTTAATATCTCAAGAATCACTTCTGTTAAGTTACCTTTTTATAATCAGAAATAGAAAAAAAAACATTGGTGTTAAATTAGCAAGCATTAAGACAATGGAGGCATGAACAGAGAAAGGATGATGGACAAATTCCAATAATTTTCTTGTCCTGTAGTATTCCATACTTCTGTTATTACTAGAGATAAATGATTATACAAGCATTAGCAATAGCATTTAGATTTATATACTGCTTCACAGTGCTTTACAGTCCTCTCTAAGAGGTTTACAGAGTAAGCATATTGGCCCCAACAATCTGGGTCCTCATTTTACCAACCTCGGAAGGATGGAAGGCTGAGTCAACCTTGAGCCGGTGAGAATCGAACTGCTGGCAATCAACAGAATTAGCCTGCAATACTAACCACTGCGCCACCACAGCTCTCACCACTAAGTTTACTGCCTATATTCTTATGCCTCCTTGCAACTGCAAATTAAATGCCTGTGTAGAAATAGAAACAAAACCAAAATGCGCACAACTAGAGATGGAATTGTAGTATCAAATTCAGAAGAACTAAAAGACTCTTAAAAAGCTAGCATGTGGGAAACTGTCTAGAATAAGTTGACCAGATTTTAACATTGGTAAAGAGGGACATTGTGGGCGTGGCTTATTTTGTGGGCGTGGCTAGCTGGTCACGTGACTGGGTGGGTGTGGCTAGCTGGTCATGTGACCGGGTGGCCATGGCTATGTGTATAGGGTAAGGTGAACAGATTTTAACATTGGTAAGAAGGACACCATTGTGGGAGTGACTTATTGTGTGGGCGTGGCTTGGAGGCCATGTGACTGGGTAGGCGTGGCTAGCTGGTCATGTGACCGGGTGGCCATGGCTATGTGTATAGGGACTACTCAGAGGGCTGAAAAGTCATTTCTGACAGGTCCTCACACTTTTGACTGGTCCTCACACTTATGACCATCCTCACATTTATGCCCGTGCAGTATTCTTAACAACCATGTCACTCATTTCACAACTGCTTCTCTTCACCATGATGACAAGATAGGGCAAAAATGTAAAATGTGAGGACAGTCGTAAGTTCGAGGACTGGTCAAAAGTGTGAGGACCAGTCAAAAATAACTTTTTCAGCCCTCTAAGTAGTCCATATGCACAAAAAGACTAACCAGAGGGCTGAAAAAATCATTTCTGACAGGTCCTCGCACTTTTGACTGGTCCTCACACTTATGACCATCCTCACATTTATGCCCATGCAGCATTCTTAACAACCATGTCTATTTATTCATATTTGTTCTCTTTTATTCTTTAAAGTTTAACCATTCATTCTTTATCTTAATATCTTTATATTTGTTTGGGATTGGCTTTCTTCCCTTTCATCTTTTTTATTATACAGCAATCTTTCTCCTCAAACCTACCACCTCTCTCTTTTCTTTCCTTCTTACTTTCTCTTCCCCCCCTCTTCTTCTCCTCCCTACTTCCTCTTCCTTTCTCCTTCTCCTCCTCTCTTCCTCCCCCCCTCTTACCTTCACTCCTACTCTAATTTCCCTTCCCTTCCTTCATCCCTCTCTATTGCTGTATCCTTTTATGCATATGGACTACTCAGAGGGCTGAAAAAGTTAT